TTAAAAGATCACCCAGATCTGAAGCAGGCAACATCAAAAACTCTTCGCAGTTTGCAGCTTCTACAAAATTTTCCTCGATAAAAGTAGTTGCCCGGTTCATTAGATCATTACAGTTGAATTTATCCGACAAAGCACGAATTCCCCAGCAATTACTCAAAGCGAGACGATCTTGAATAAATTTGCAGCAAGATTGAGTGACAAACTCGAGCAGAAGTAAACACGAACCACAGAACACATCTTCGACGTTTTCCTCGGTTATCAAAATGTCACCTCGGTAGATGAAATCCAGGAGGATCTCCATTGCAGTAGCGGTGATTTCTTTGACAGAGACTTTATCACTCGTGGTGGCCATGTGTCCGCTGAACATGGCCATGAAATAGTCTGAGTTGGCAGCCAGCACATTTCGGTGGGCAGGGAATTCTCTGCCTTCTACGACAAGAACGACATCTGTTAACACAGAATGGACTCGCATTCGCGCAATTCGTTTCAGAATATATGTATTGTGAGTTTCATCTACAAAACGCATACAAGTCTCTCGCTTGAACACCGCATCGAAGGCCATCTTGTTACCAAACACCGCAGCCCTTCACTTTTACGACGCTGAACACGTCACAATCTCCCGCCCCTCACCACGATCTTACCGGTCAAAGTTTCATATAAATTATGTCGAGTATCAAACTTTTTATATCCATCGATTGAAAGCAGTGAAACAACGGAGCAGTAATTTGAAACGCAAACTTAACAAGGTAAGAAAAAGCTCTAACCGAAGTCCTCGAAACAATTTAAATGCAACCAATGGTTGACAAGTCGCGCAATCGCAGAACTTCCGCTGGTTGGTCACGTAATATTACACATCAATTAACAAATGGTAAACACCACAGCGTACACTATTGAGTTATGGATGCACGCGGGAGGTTGCTAAGCACGAAAGAAGCGTAAGAGTCGCTCGAGGCGATAGCCGAGAGCGACTCTAGCTTCTTGAGTGCTTAGCAAACCTCCCAAGTGCATCCATAACTTAATAGTGTACGCTGTGGTGTTTACCATTTGTTTTATAACATAACATTGATACATTGTAGCTAAAGATTTCCCTTTTATTTAACAAATCTTACGAGACCAGAAAAAACAAGCGCGCGCGGAAAAATAGTCTTTACATTTCCTCACGTCAGCAGCGTACACCCATGGGCAAATGGGGGACGCTAAAATTGACCAATCAGAGCGCGCGCTTTACTTTGGTTATGTTATAATACTAGATTAAGGTCAGTCATCGCGTTCTAGAATATCTAACACGTCTTTGGTCGAAGAACTGTTGTCGTTTTTCTCATGTATGCCACTCTCTTCTCTTCGAGCTTTCGCTCAACGCCTTTTCACAAGGCGTGTGTTGCGTGGCAACCCATTGAAATGACGTTTCGAGTCAACTACGCTACCACCGCAAGGTCAAAACATTTACCATCCCAGCTTCAAATTTTGGGCGTAACAGCATATATGACGCGGCAAGCTGGAATGCTACCACAGGTTTTATCCATTATTCATCGTCCCTTTAGAGAAGACCCTTTGCGAGGAAGTCTACGAACCGTGTCAAGCTCTCTCTCGGTACACTTTTACTGATGTAGAAAGCGGTATACGTGCCTAAGCGAAAATAAAAGATTTGACAAGAGAGGGCGCAAAAAGGAAGGAAAACAATACGACGAGTACGAAACCTTGCTCTCTGCCCACAACTCATGGGAAAAAAAAAATTAAATCTGATAAATAAGAACATCGATCATCTTCCTAAACTCCTTCCGTACCCCGACTAATCTACCCTTAGAAGAAAGGCAAACGTTGCAGAACTCAGTAACACAATAAGCAGGGAGAGTTTCAAGAATGCAACGGACAACCAGGATAAAAAACCAGACGGTTACTCAGTAAAAATCTACAAGGTAATTGGCAACGAATATTTAAGTAGTTGAACTCACGGGAGCAAGTCTTTAGAGGACCCAAGTTTTACAATGTAACTCGTCTAATTATAAGAAGAGTGTTGTGTGACGACCTTTAACGATAGGTTCGACAGGTAAGTCATTCGCAACAGAGCATAGTTATGTCTGAAGATTTCACAGTCATCCAAGAAAAGGAAGGAGAGCTTACGGGACCACGACAAGCATTGATTCATGGTGTACGAATATCATTCTATGCTCCCAACATTGATAAAGATTTTGAGAAGGATTTAAATCGTTTTGAAACCCGGTCAGACGATATCTATGTGGTCAGTTTTCCAAAATCAGGTAAGGCCATGGTTTAAGAATGGACCACGTTTATTGTAGCAAACGAAATGCCAAATTCCTGGCCAATTATTATGCATTTATTCTTTAACAATCATTGGTGAGAAGTTTGTGCATATGTTTTTACAACCGACCGAATAATATTGATGTAATTTCAGAAATTAGTCACGTGTTGGAAGGCAATATTCTTAAGGTCTGCCACAATAATCCCACAAATTCAAATTTTTCCTGTAATATGGGATCCTAAGCTTTAGAAGTTTAGTATCCGTGCTATATTTCGTCAACACAAGTGGCACGAATTTGAGTGTTGAATCAACTCTCTCTGGTTTCATGACCCAGTGACCACAATCGTACTCTGCAAAGATATTTACATAATCAATTGCGCAAAAGAGAAAGCATTTCATTTAGCTTTAATCTAAGCTAAAATCACTTCATCGCCGATACTTTCGACAGCGTTTCCTTTTTGTGGTACATTCGCTTTATTTCGTGTTCGTTTCCTGTATTTTGTTTGCGAAATTTTAAGATTGTGTCTTCGCAATTCGAGGCTGTTTACATTCTCAATTAAAAACTTTCCGATTGGCCGAGTTACCCCCCTTTGCCGTCGGTTTCTTTTTCCTCACGGCAGTCGTCTGAGTGCCGTTTCATTTGTGAA